AAGCACTGCTATGCACAGGACCCAAGCTTTTACTTACTCTAAATATTTTAAACCCAGATTCACACACCTTGTTGAGACCAAAGGAATATGAGCCCTAGCGTCGGCTTGGTCAGCGTCACCTCTGATAAATGGTGGCGTCAGTGCTAGCAGTGCTAATCACACTATACCTACCAGATACTGTATTGTCGTACTACTACCAATGGATACTGTAGTAGACCTAAATGTAGTCAACAGACGGTAAACTGCTCGACAGAAGGGCATGGTAGGACTTGCGCATTACTTTAGAAACGCTCTATTAGTATCCCAATGCTAATCACTATTCCCTACCACAGATTGGGAACGCATTCTGGGTGCGACTTCATAAAAAGCACACACAGGCAAAATTTAAAGCATACTATCTACGGGCCTTAGTAAGCATGATTACTAGAATCTAGCACGATTAGCATAAGCACGTACCTATAGCAGCAGCTCGTTTACTCCGCACCTAGTAGAAAATTACACAGCCCGATGGATAGAGTTGAGAGTGCGGAAGCCAAGGCAAGCACTGCTATGTACAGTACCGAAGTTTTACTTACTCTAAATAGTTCAAACCCAGATTCACACTCCTTGTTGAGACCTAGGGAATATGAGCCCTAGTGCTGCCTTAATCAGCGTCACCTATGACGAATGGGAGCGTCAGTGCCAGCACCAGTACTAGTACACTTCTTGCCGAGATTGAGGGGATATGAGCCCTGTGCGGACCTTAATCTGCGTCCTTTCTGACTTATTAAACAGTCAGTAGAAATATCAGCAAATACTATCACTCAGCTACACCCTTTTAAGTTGTATTAGAAGTAGTAGTACCAGTCCTGGCTTACTAGAGTCTGGCTAGACACCTACTATATGTGAGTGAGGGTAGACAGTTCGGTAGTAGCCGCGCAAAGTCTAGTGTCACTAAAGGCTGAGTTAAGGCGGTGTTTCTGGCTGCATCTGGAGAAAGCGGCTTACGCCTGATCCCCTGCACAGTCATCTCGACTTTGTCTTGTCACCGTTCTCCCACGGGGTGAACGTTTAGAGTGGGGTAGAGATGACGGCCACTCTACTTTCACTATAGCTGGCCGTAGTCACCGTCCCTGCTCTCGGGCAAATGGTGCACATCATCGATAACGGTGGTCGAACTAACACATAACGTTGGCCGTTTCTAACTAAACTGAAAACCTAAATAAGGTAAAACTAACATTAAACTAATATATCAAATGATAATCTAAAAATAATAAAATTAAAAGTAATCAAAGGACTACGCGCTAAGGGTATCTATGGTGGGCGACAAACTTAACTTTCACTTCGACGGGCAAGTCCAACCCTCTCTCCCCCCAACTTGCCGTCATAAGTACGCGCAGCATCAGTCGAAAAAAAACGTTTAGACTTCTATCTTATACTTTTGGTGACAATATAGCAAGACTATTTACAATCTAACCGCGGTCGACACATACAGACAGCACTAACCATGTGAGACCGTGAGTCAGAGGTGCACCAAGTCCGTCGCCCGCATGACGTTCCTTCGTAAAATTGACTCCTGAGAAAGTGACGATCAGGTGCACGTACAATGGACTTCTTAAGGCAACTGACTATATTTTTTTTAAATATCATACCGGAGCCATGATGCTATGTACATAACACACGCATTTATAAAAGCTCTCAGACCGTCAGTAGCGAAAAAATGCAGGAAGAAAAAGTCTTAAGGTGTGTTATGGTACAGGGGAAGAGCCTTCACCGCAGTGCGAAAGAGCGGATAGAGGAAGTTCGGATGTGGTAAATCGCCCCGTTATTAAAGGCTCATGGATTCGTGGGCGAGGAGTCCTCAGAAGCCAACTCCTCGTACGCATCCTCACCAGTAGCCACCTCGTCAAACGTCTCCTCCGAAGGTCGTCTCTGTCTAATTAGTTGACCCAGATTGGAGAACGGCTGCCTGGGAAGGTGGTCCAGTGGACACAAGCCCTCGGTATTTTCGTTCAAAAGACTCTCCGGAGGTGGGAGGAGATTTCGCAAACCCACTAAACACGAGTGAAAAGGACTGAGTGAGACTGTAATAGACCTTCCAAGAAAATATTTAGTATTCAGTAAAAATAATTGTGTTGGTATAGGTAAATTTTGTTGGACTGGATAATTTGTCAGTGACTGATGACTTAGGAAATAACTCTGTCTTCAACTGGATGATCGATCTTATAATCACAGAGCTACTGCCATAGTGAGGAATTAATCAATTATTAATCAGTAACTTGCTAACTATAAGTTTTTAACTTATAGTAAATGACTT